GATGGTCACGCCGCAATCCCTTCTCCTCCATTCTCCTCTCGGGATCTTGGGCATGCACGCACACGCGCCTGGCGTGAGTTTTTAAGCCACCAGGTCCGGGATGCGAACCGCGGTCGACTATGTGGGAGTCCAGCGACATAGCCATTACGCTAACTGCTGGTCCCCATCCTCAGTAGCTTCTGAGGCAGCAGTCAGGTCCTGCAGCCCACTGTTCCCAAGGCAGAGAAAACCAGGGCCTGGCTCTGACGGAGAAGGACAGGCTCTGGACAGCTGGGAGGAAGCGTGGCATTCCAGGTCACTGTGACGCCCAGGAGTCTGTGGAAGTGGCCAGCCCTCCCATTAAGAGCACCAAGTCCCTTCTTGCACCAAAATGATGCCCGTAAGACATGCCTGTGACCCCATCAACCCCGGGGCCCCACTCCACTCTGTGCTAGTGGGTCAGCAATGAGAGTGAAGTCACCAAACACACAGCCGTGGAAGTGCTGGGCCAGCTATGAGAGGCAAGAGACTACACCCCAAACAAGGCACAGAGCAGTGCGCACCAGCAGGAGGCAGGAGCACACGCACCAGACAAATGCTGAAGTCCTGGGCCAAGGACGGTGGGACGGACACGTGGGTAAAGGGTTTTCTGGAGTGGGAGCACCTGCATACAGTACAGGCTTTGATGTCCTAGCAAGGGCCCCAGAGGTGACGTAAACACGTTGCCTGCCTAGCTACCAGAGTACGGAAGAAGTGACAGGGACAGCACAGGAGGCAGAAATGCCAGGACTGCTACGACCAGCGCTGGGCACGTCAGAGAGATGAAGCACGCAGGGCCCCAAGCGGCCCGTGCTGAGCCAGCACTGACTGCACTGCAGCTCACCTTCCCCCCACGCCCAACCACGCTCCCACCCGTGCCCTGAGGACACGGTCCCAACCTAAGAAACAACCTTCTTCTCAACCTCTTATCCTCAACTTATATCCCCTTTGACATACACACACACACGTATCTCCCTCAAATATTCAAATTCTCAAACTCTTTTCCCCCTAACTTCAGCAACTTCTCAGATGGATCTATTCTGCCAGGCCCTTCCTGCGGTTCACAGGTGGGGCTCCTTCGGCGTGCCTGTCACTCTGACCCCATGTTCAGACACGGTTATGATAATGCATCTTCCCAAACGTGTTACAATGCACTTACTGTAACATCTGCTTAAACAAGTCATAACATTACGAAATAAAAACGTAAAGATAATAACCTGTAGTTAGTTGTTTGTGTATTAAATACATACTATTAAAAAGAAACTAAACATGTTGGTTAAGGCGCTGAATTCCACAGGGCTGACTGTGGTTCAAATCTCACTTTCTCTCTCTCTCCTTCTGCCCCTCTGATCAAAGTAAAAATAAATGAGCAAATAAAATAAACAAAATAAAAGTTAAATAAAATAATTCTTTAAAAAAAATTTTTTAAATTTGCTTTAAAAAGAGGCATTTGCAAACAGATCTAATAGGAAGATGCTACACTCAAATTGTTTCTCAAACATCTACGCCTGTCATCATTAAAAACACAAGAAACTGGAAATCATGACAGCTGCATTAAGAGCATGGGGGATGTACAAAAATCCAAATGGAATTCTAACAGTCACTCTAAAAGAAGAAGACTTGGGCCTGTGTTGGCTTTACGGAAGATTTTTTTAAGCATGATGGAAGCAGTTTCAGGGTCCTATAAATTGGTAGTAGGAAAAAATTACCTGTTTATTTCCTTCATGAGAAACACAGAGACAGAAAGATAAGCACTCAACAGAGTTTCAGGCAGTAATTCCTGCCCAACCCCGGCAGCCTCCCACCCAGCCAGGATCAAAGACGCATGCCCAGTACACAGGTCGCCTGGGGACCGACCCTGTACCTTCCGTGCAGCTTCCAGCAGTGCAGGGCATTCCACCAGCAGTGGGTTTCAGGCCAGGAAATTAAGCTATTATTCAACTCACTACTCGGAAATTTGCAGGCCACCCTGAAGTTATTTATTTATTGATGGAAAAAATACTCTTGGCAAAAAAAGATGTCATACAAACAAAAACAGGTCTATACGGTATTAGCTAGGAAAAGAATAATTCCCAAACTGGACCACTGCAGACGCCAAAAATCTACATGGGAAACAAGGCTGTACTGTAAGTCCTTGAGCTGTAGCTGCTGAGATGACTCCTCACTGCCCACACAACTTACTGTGTGTGACTCACACTAAAACAAGAAAACAAGACGTGAACTCTCTAAAAGAATGAGAAACTAAGTTTGTGAGCATCTACTTCAAAGACAGAAGACATGAAATGATGCAAGCACTGCTGGGGTAGGTACACAGGTGGGCAAACTTTTCTGGAAGGGCCAGGCAGCAAATGCCAAGGCGTCACCAGCGAAGGGTGGTGGGCCACACCTGACTGGTAATGCCAGAGCTTGTCCACCTTCGTTCTAATGTAATAAAAAAGTCAAGCAAATACCCATGGTCAAAACACATAGCACAGCACGAAGCCTAAAGTCAACCTGCTCACCTGGCCAAGAGACTCCCGCAGATCCACGTGTAAATATTCTGGGGGTGAGGCAGGGATATTCAGAGAGGCTTGAGAGAGTGGGGGTGCGGAACAGGTGAGTGAGGATTCAAAGTCTTCAATCAAAGCACTCGACTGACTGCTATTCACGGCATTTTGGTTCAAAACCTTAGAGTCCTTTCTTCCCGAGTCGTCCAATCGCAGAAGCTCGATTTGTGCGCCAACGTGCAGTAACTCGGGTTTCACGGGGTCTGTCCTGGGCACGGCCACTGGCGGGGCGCCACTCATCTCTGAGCGTCCTCCACTTGACGCGAAGTGCTTGGTGAGGGCGGCCCAGAGCCCGGCAATCCACGGCTCAACCACGAGCTCTAAACTGGGTTGCAGTGAAAAGGACAAAAGAAACAAGTGCCTCAGTTCTCCACGTGGACAAGGAGTAACGGCACGATGGCAGCATCTGTCCCTTTGGCAGAAGGCTACAAGCAGCTGTTAGGAAGTTTGCTGAATACAAAGACTATTCGCAATATAAAAATACTGACGGTTACATTGTAAAAATAGAATATAGCTATGCACTCATGAGAACTGTAGCTGTAAAAAATATGGGCACGTCTAAAGATCAAAAAAATGAAGTGGGATATAAAGATATTTTAGTAACAGAATAATGAGTACAATTCCTTCCTTCCTTCCTTCCTTTCCTAAAACAGAGTAATTTTTATTTCAAAGAGACATGCTGAAGTCTGATGAAGCTCATAGGAGTTAGCCAAAATCCAAGACTATTCTAATATTGCAAATGAATACTGCATTAATTGAATGTACCATCTTTTTTCTGCCTAGTCAATTTACTGATCTTTCTACAGATTAGACTACCATCAAAAAATCACTATGGCTTAATGCCAAGGCTTTTGACTTAAAAAAAAGATTCAAACCTTTCTGTCAGCTGTGAATAATTTTTTGGGTAAAATTTATAAGGGAGCTAATTATATGGGAAAAGGCAATAATCCTTTTTAAAAGTCAAATTAATCATGAACACATTTTTAAAACGTGATAGTCTGTCTTGGTACTTCCTTGTGTTATTAGCAAGAAATAACAAAAAGACTGGGTGATTTACAAGAAAAGAAAGGTTTATTTGCAAATCCCCCAATTCCAGCCCCTGGGAAGTCCAAAGGCCTCACACAATGGCGGAAGCAGGATGTTCAGCACAGCAGAGCACAGGCTGTGTCCGTGAGCTTCTCCCCGCTTCTGCCCTCGGGCTGTCTTCCTGAGCGTCTCCCACTTCTGCTCTCACTCCTGCTTACCAACCTACCAGGCTCTGCCCTAAAGGCCTTATCACACCCAAGCCCTAACCCTGAGAAACCATGAAGGAACTAAATTTTCACTTTAATGCCTTCACAAAGCAATCAAGTCTCAGCACAGGAAGGGTGAGGGGACATCCCAGCTACAGCCCACAACTAATAACAAAGTAGGACAATTCGAGACAAAGTATAACTCATTAAATGACATTCCCTGAGCAAAAAGTTTGAATAAGAGTAAATGAGGAAGAAAGATCAAGTCAAGGCATTGCAAATAACCCTGCTATGGCTTGAATCTGGCCCTCCAAAATTCGCAGGTTAACACGTATTTTTTGCTGCCACGAAGGTATTAAAGGCAGGAACATAATCTGAAGGACTACAAGATTACAGGGTGGGACCTTTGGGAATTAGGGTTAGATAACTTGCTCAGGGCGGGCCCCCACAACTGAATACTGGTGGCTTTATAAGAGGCAAAGAAACAAGAGCTGACACACACCCTCTGCCACCTCAAGGCTCCATGGAGAACCCCACCTGCATGAAGACCTCGCTAGATATAGCCCCTTAACCTTTGACCTCCAGAATCATAAGCTGGATAAACCTGTATTCTTTATAAGTTACCCAGTCTTTTGTGTTCAGTTATAACCACAGAAAAAGAAACTAAAAGCCGAATTCATTTTTAATCTCGACTGGAAGTAGGAATCAGATTCTAAGTCATGAAACAATGACTTAACTGGGACGTGGCACGTTTCTGACCTCTGTCTTACTAGGACACTGGCTGTAATGTCACTGTGTTCATTAGGTGCTCACATGGTCCACGGCTCAAAATGTGATGATTTGGTTATCTGGTCCCAAGGTTTTTTTTTTTTTTTTTGGAGAGGTTTTCGCTATAGGGCACGTGCGCTCACCAGAAAGAGAGAAATAGAGAGACAGAAAGCAAGAAATCCCCCCCCCCAGGGGGGATGGCCATGCCGCAATCCCTTCTCCTCCATTCTCCTCTTGGGATCCTGGGCACGCATGCACACGCGCCCAACATGAGTTTAAGCTGTCAGGTCTAGGACTTGAACTGCGGTCGACTACATGGGAGTCCAGCGACATAGTCATTACGCTAACTGCTGGTCCCTGGTTATCTATTACCTTTATCCCGAGGAGCCTTTATGAAAGCAAGTTTATAAAATTATGGGTTCAACAATCACAGCCACATTAAAAAAACATTCCATAACTCAGAAATATAAGGTGAAACATCCATGACTGTAAAGAGAGTGAGTGGCTTCACTGTTTACAAATGACTGACAACAATCTCAGAGGGTACCATTTATTAATCCATAGGACCATTCCAAGAAGTTTCCATAGCACACGCTGCTGCTATGTATTCCATAAAGGGAGAAACCAAGTACTCAGAACAAGCCTAGCCCCCCATGACTTTGCCACGTGGTGGGACTTTTAGAAGACGGGGCCTAATGGAAGAGCACCATCCAGTCAACTGGGAGCAAGGGACAGACAAACAGAAGTGGAAAATTCTTCCCTCTTCCTCCCCTCCCCTTCTGCTGTCTGTGCTGTGGTTCTGGCACATGCTGCTGGACTTTCTAGTCACCAATGAACTTTTATTCTTTATAAATCACCCAGTTGCAGGTATTTTTGTTTATAACACAGTAACAGACTATGACGGCTGCTAAAGGAAATGTGGATTTTTGGGACCAGCAGTTAGCATAATGGCTATGTCGCTGGACTACCATGTAGTCAACTGTGGTTCGAGTCCTGGACCCAGTAGCTTAAAACTCATGCCGGGCGCGTGTGCGTGTGTGCCCAAGATCCCGAGAGGAGAATGGAGGAAAAGGGACTGCGGCATGGCCATCCCCCCTGGGGGGGTGATTTCTTACTTTCTGTCTCTCTCTGTCTGGTGAGTGCACGCACCCTATAGCAAAAACCTCTCCAAAAAGAAAAAAAAAAAAAGAAAATGTGGATTTTTATAAATACCTACACATTTTAGGATGAAAATAACTACACTGGGGCCCCAGTCCTAATTCCTAGCATTAGCAGACATTGAGGAGGAAGACACACACACACAAACATTTGCAAAGCAGGTCAATCAAGCCCTGGATGACCCCAGGTCTTAAAGCTAAAAAGCTAACAAAATAAAGTAAGACTCTCAAGATGAACGTTTCAGTGCTAAACCAAAAGCCAACAGTTTCTCAAACTACCGTTCCCCGGGTATAAGTAAGGGCTTACTGGGAAAGAGACGAACACGCTGCCTTACCCCACACAGTCGTCTGCATGTCCGGTGTCATAGAAATGTCGGGCTCCCAGCTCTTGAAGTCGCTTATCGATGACTTTCCCCCCGTTACAGAAGTACGTGTACTCTGAATCTCCCAGACCTGAAGAGCCCAGACAGACAATTAGTGCACAAGTTTAAAGACACAAGGAAAAGAGGACTGACACCTTTAAAGCACTACTCCACGCTCTGATGGATGGGGGTCGGAATAATGCAGAGCTTCACATTTTCTTATTTTCCTTGCGTAACACTAAGAATGTGGACAATTTTCTTTTCACACCCTCAATACCAGATGGAGCCGGTGGTAAGCGATGACGTGGGATGCTCTGCCAGGCACTCCTACATGGGGGCACTTTCAGTTCCTATCTGGATTCTTCATTCCTGAGGGAACGGTTCTTAGAGAGGGAAGATATTCACCCACCTGGACATTTCTGGGTTTGTTTAGTTCTTAATATAAGGAAATGGAACATGAGGTTGCTCCTTTGAATAGTCTATTTTAACAGGTTTGGGATGAGGCCCAGCCTCTGACCTTCTGAAGACATTTCAAGGGTGAATCTGATGTGTGTCCCTGGTTACGAATGCTACACAAGGTTTCGCAGAGGCACTGCGGAGGGGTCTAGACTGGGGAGGCACTCACATAAGACCGTGCATAATTTACATGTAATACCTGGTATAAAAATATGTGTGTCTAAAATATGTTCATATAAAAAAAGGACAAAACAAAAACCCACACAATTTCTCTTTATGGTTTTGAAAGACACACTCAGACAACCAGAGTTAAAGCGGGTGATGATGTGCGGTGAGAAGAGAGAACAAAGTCCATTACCCAGTAGGCCATACCGCAGGTGAGCAAAGAAGTCGGCCGGCAGGGTCCTGTCCTGTATTGCCCTAACGAACTTGCGGGCTGTGTCGGGCGGGTCTCCGGTGCCAGTGGTGGAAACAACGACAACGAGGGGAGCTGTCTCCGTTTTCAGGTCATACTACAAAATCAAGGCAGAAGTCAGTGCTCTGTGTGTTTTTGGTTTAGTGCATCAGCAAGGCAACTGGCTTAGTTTCCTGTCTTGTATTTCTTCTTGGTTTTCATTCAAGGTATGTGCCAGAGGGCCCCGTCCAGTGGCTTTTGACCTGCCCAGTGTAGACATCACTCTATGAAAGCGCGCGTTTCTAGTGCTGGTGCCTTCGGAGGTCAGGAGAGTTTAACTGCCCTCCTCTCCGGTGGTTTACAGAGACGCAGACATGGGGCCCACCCTGGGTTTCTATACAGTCCAACCTTTTGCTTTTAGGAAAACGAGACGAGGTGGGATTGATACAGCCCTCTCTTTCCCACTGTACCCTGGGTCTTTCCCACTGTACCCTGGGCAGCTGTTAAGGGAGCTCTGTCTGCAAGGCAAATAAGCCCAACTAGGAGCCCCGATGATGCCCTCGGCAATGCGCTGAGCTACCAAGAGGAAAGGAGCAACCTGCATACAAGTGTCTTTTCATTAGGAAGTTAAAAAAAGCAAAAAGAAATTAAAATGGGGGGATGGTCCAGAAATAGAGAGAACAGATGCATATAAACCAAGGATTAAAATGAAAAGACAGCAGGGAACAACAAACAGAATGTTCTGGTGAAGACAAGTAACAACAGAAACAACAGCTTTGAATTATTATAATCATTATTTTGCCATAGGGTGAGAGTGCTCACCAGAGAGACAGAATGAGGGAAAGTGAGAAATTGACCCCATGGATGACCATGCCGTAATCCCTTCTCTATTCTCCTCTAGGAATGATGGGCATGCACGCACACACGTTTTTCAAGCTGCTGGGTCTAGGGCTTGAACAGTGAGTCAGCCACGTGGGATCCAGCACCTCAACCATCACACCACCTGCTGGCTTAGTTCTGAAAATTCTAACAAAATATAAACACCATCTTCTGCATTGCACAGACACAAAATGCACATGCATTTGAAAGTAGAGGCATTAGGAGTGTCAGACCTCAGGTATCATTGATCCAGCTATCAAAAAATAGATCCTTGATCCCTCATGGTACCAGAGAGCTAAAGATCTCACCAGCTGGATTCAAGACTATCAAAGCTCCCAACTTTTACAAGCCAAGTTTCCTTATTCTCTCATGTAAATGTAAATATTTCAAACAGCATTTCACTGTTTCCACCCACAATGACCCCATGAGCTCTGCTGCTCATGAACATCATCTAACTCGGCCCCAAGGAATTCACATTGCTTTTTAAGCTGACATAATAGATAAGGAGCAGGGCTGACTTTCTACCAGGCCACTTAATTCCCACAGACAAGCCGTGGGAATTCTAAATTCTATAGCTTCACCCTGAAAGGGACCACTGTGAACTAGTGAGCTGCTGCTTTAAACCGAGATCATGAACAGCTGGACAAGCCAGGCAGTCGGGCAGTAAGACAAATGGCATGTCTAACTTGGTGTTAGTAAAACGCCAGCATGGCGGGCACCGTCCTTAGTGTGTAACACTGCAGTGCTGGAGGCCAGGTGGCCACCACTGGTTTGGATCCCTGGGCTGGATGACCTGAAATACACTGGCACTTGCATGTGCACCCACAATCCTGAAGAGCTGGAGGGCTGGGAAAAGGGGATCACAGCAGAATGGGACCCCGTAGAGGTGTGCATGTCCTATCATAAAGAAACAATTACACTCACCTCACTAATAGCTGCTGACCTCGTTAATCTGTTAGCAAAATCAGCGTTAATTTTATGATAATGATGACTCAGTTTTCATTCACAGTAACATATTTAGACTGTATTCCATCAAATGGATCATGAACAAAAATTTACTTTAAGTTGCTGCAGAATGACAGAACCTGCTGACTGGTCGTGTCCTCCTCAAAGGCCTGTTTCCCATAAGTGACAACATCTGGAGTCACTTTGCCAGCACCACAGAAAGGAACAAGGTGAGTTTCCCCTTATGAGCCGGGTTTATAATTCACCTGTGCTGCCGGCAGTGCACTCTTAGAGCTGGAGACACAGGGATGGCCAGAGGAGGTTGTGAAATCAAGTGAGAGGGACTGGCCAAGATAGTTTGGAAGTACTGAAAAATACTGAAAAGTACTGATGGCTTAGCGGGAGGCTCTTGGTCTTGTGGCATAAAGCTTCTTCTAGTTATTACCTGAGTTGTCTGAAAAAGTATAACCTGGAGGGGTCAGATGAAAGGAAAGAACAAAGACCTGCTAACATCTTGTGTATTCTCAGGTAGAACTTCTGCAGAGATGGCACATAAGAATAAGTAGTCCCTCACGACAGCTGCTGAGTCTTCTCCAGATCCTTATACTTCACTTCAAATTCTATTTCACAAAAGAATCCAGGTCCTCATTCATTTGGAAAAGCTAACATAAAAAGCAAGATCTTTGTCTGAGGAAACGGAATGGAGCACTGAGATTCATCAGGAGTAAAGCAGACATGTGCACGTGAACACACAGACCTCGTTTATATTCACTGTCCCCTCTTGGAAGAAATAAGCCATGTACTAGTATCATTCACAGCTGAGGAGTAGTTATGCATATTCCTATGTTAAAGGGAAAAAAAGCTGGTAAAATCTTACAATACACCTAACCAAATAAATTTGTGACTGTTAAAACAAAAAGGATTCTGGTGATATTTAGCATCTTGCTTTGTTGTTTAACAAACATCACTTGCCAATTAAAATATTTCAAAGCTTACAACAGACTAAACCTCCCAGAGGTAAGGGCTCTGACCTTATCCGACTCACTAATGCAGTGCAGATCTGCAGAAAATCCATGTGCTGCAGCTTGCTCACATATTTCTTCTGCTATGGCCTTTGCCTGGCCTTGCTGTGTCGCATACAGCAACAAAAACCTCATCACCTCCAGGCATACGCTACAAGAGTGACACTGAAAAACAGAAAAGGGAAAACGGATTTGAACGAAGTAGTAACAACCTGAAAACAGTCATTCTTCTTCAGTCTTTCTTCTTATGACAGAAAGCGGGCACATGAGTGCGTGTATGCATGTGTATGAGAGAAAGAAAAGATCCTTTGACAGGCTTGTCATGTTGAGGCCCCCTTTACCCAGCACGCCAGCTCCTAAAGATCCTGGGTGCCTGGGTGTCATGTGCATACATGCAAACCTAGCTAGTGGGAGGGTCACCACACAAAGACCCTACTCAAAATACCTATTTCTGCCCCTACCTCCATAAAGGGAAAAAAAGAATTGCATGATTCTTGTTTCTTATCTAAACCTAAAGCTAAACAAATTGACTGTAACAATAAAGCTAATCAAAGTACAAGCTCTCTTCTGCTCTTTAATTCAGTGTCCATCAAATATCTGAAAGTAGATATATATTTATTTATATATATATAGTATGTATTATATATAATATGTATACACACATACAAAAGTACTTCAAAAGTTCGTGGAAAATGAAATTAAAGTATGAGTTTCTTTTGGAGTAAAAAACAAACACTGAAATTCATGCATAATTTTTTCATAATATGCATTTCCAATGAACTTTCTGAAGACCTCTCATAAATGTGCAGAGAGAGAAAACAGTTCTAATCCACTCCGTTATACTAACAGATTACAGTCTGCTTGACGACAATCGTAAATTAAAGACACAGACTTTTCCTTTTCTAGTTAGTAGACAAACCCCGAGAACTGTCAATTTGTGGGAGCGGACTTACTGAAGCCTAAACTAAAATCTTGGTTGTTGATGAATGCACCATTTAGTCTTACGCTCTTCTAGTCAGTTCTACCTAAGGATAAATTAAGCCTAGAAGAAATTACACGTTAATTAGGGATATAGCCTTAGGGACGACAACATCTCCTGGCATTCGTAAAGTACATGAGTGAATAAATGAATGATGTGAAGGAACTACACGTTTAGGGCTCTCCAAGAACAGCAAAGACGGGGCGATAAAACCTTCTCAATACAGCTCACCGTTTACTCACTTCTCAGAACCCACAGGCTGCTCCCAGTGCTTCAGACGACTAAGCCCTCCTCCCTGACCGCTCAGCTCCGCACGCACGGTCTATCTACCCCTGGCTTCTGGGTGGAGGTCCTGCGCCAGCAGGGCCAGGGTCCGGGCAGGCGCGGTCGGCAGGTCACGCTGCCGTATACGGCGACGCCACGCTGGACACCTTCCTGGATCTCCCAGGCGCCCCTGTGCGCCGTGGACCGCCTGGACGGTGCTCAGAGGTCAAGGCGCCCTAGGAGAGGCTCACACGCCCCGGGGCAAGACCCGAAGCCGGGCACCGCTGCAGTCTGGGCGAGCCCACAGTGCCCGAGGGCTAGGAAACCAGGCACTTAGGCCAGCTGCCCCACCGACTTGGGCACTCCATCCTCCGGCCCTTGCTGGGAGAGCGGCGCAGATCCGGGAACCGCAGCCGTCGAAGTGCTCACCTGCGTGGCCCAAGCCCCAGGACGCTCCAGGGGCGCTTGGAATGCGCTGACCCGGCGTCGGCGCACACGGCTGAAGTGCGCATGCTCATCGTCCACGACCAATAGGAAGCTTCGAATGGTGGGCCAATCATAGAGCGATGGCTTCGCGCCTGCGCCTGAATGCTCCGCCGGGCCGCGGCTTTCGAGTACGGAGGCCCGCGAGTTCCCGGTACCTCGCTGCTGCTCAGAGCGTCGGGCGGGCGGAGCTCGGTTGCTGTCCAAGCTGATTTGCAGGTTGGCACCGCTCGGCGCGCACAGGCCCTCGGAGTCGCTCCGTGCCTGCCCGGGCCCGCCCCGCCGCCGTCCTTGGGTTGCGGCTCCTGCCGGGTGAGCGAAGGCGGGTCCTCGGAGCGCTCAGCCCGAGGGGAACTCAGCCCTGTCTCCCTGTCCCTTCACACGCGCGCCACCACCCCCACTCCAATAGTGGAGTCTTCAAGTTTGCGCGGACCACCCCAACATCCCCCTTGTTGACCTTTGCCGGACTTTTTATTGTTTCCCATTCGCCAAAGTCGACCCTTGCCTCCTGCTGCATCCCTCCTCCGCGGGGAACGCACACCTCAGTGCCCTTGGAGTGCTATTTGGCCTCACTCTTGGGCTAATCTATCCGAATTTTATTTTATTTATTTAAAAAAATTTACTTTTAGGCAGACGCAGTTCCTATTTTCAGCCCACATGTAAGAGTTGCAGTTGGGACCAGCAGTTGTCTTAATGGTTATGTTGCTGGATTACCATGTGGTCGAACGTGGTTCGAGTCCTGGACCTGGTGACTTAAACTTACGCTGTGTGCGTGTTTGCATGTCCAAAATCCCGAGAGGAGAACGGGGCAGAAAGGGTTGCAATGTGCCCATCTTTTGTTGTTTTTCTTTAGTTATGAATCGACAGGAGACCAGAATCTGATTGCATGGCTTTAATCACCTTGTGGAGGAACCTTTGTCATCTGTCTGATTTACGTATCCCCGGAGCTCTGGCTGCTTTGAAAAATCAACCTGCAAGTCATGTTCACAGGGTGGTAAGGGAACATTTGTGTCCTTGGTTCCGGTCACTACAACCTGAGCCTTTCAAGGTCAGGTTCCGTCACGCCTGTTGTAATGAGTTCCATTCTGAAAACGGAAATGACTTCCATCGGTCTGGTGAGCCGGTGTTCCCTCAGGTATGTGACTGGGAGAGACTGGAACAAAACCTCGAGGACGATCAGGTAATTTACAGGAGACTAAATGACTTCAGTTCATCCGAAGAAGTGTTACATTTCATAAGCACACTGGGAACTCTGTCTGATACCATGGCAGTGGGGGCTTTACAGCGGATCTGTGAAGTGGAAAAAAAAAGTGATTATCAAAGGCTGCCCCAAGAAATGCTAGACAATCGCATCTTTCAAGCCTTATGCTTACGCTTTGAACAGGGACCCTCATGTCTATCGAACAGTACTTTGGTGACAGCTTTGCAAGCCCTGGTTCTGCTGCGTGTGGATCCTCAGAGTACCCTCATAAAGAACCTAGTGACCGAAGGCCTAAATCGTTTCAAAAGAGGTGACTTGGAAGTTCGCAGTCTTTGTATTCTCGGGGAAAATCTGATCAAACTTCAAGGCCCAGACTGTGCAACAGTGGAGCTGATTATATACCACCTGCAAGGTGAAGAGTTAGAAACATTCAGCCCGGAGGATATCGTAGCCCTTTATAGGATACTGCAGGCATGCGCTGAGAAAGTGGACCAATACCAGATGTTTTTAAATAAGATGAACAACTTTTCCCTCTCGATAATTTCCAGCCTGAGTCCTACATTGCTTAGCCAGATGCTCACTGCCCTTGTCATTCTTGATCAAACGCAGGCATTCCCTTTGATTATAAAATTGGGGAAGTATGTCGTGAGGCACATTCCTCATTTCACTAATGAAGAGCTTGGGCAAGTCTTAGAAGCTTTCGTATATTTTGGGCACAGTGACAGATTTTTTACAAAAGCCCTAGAGCAGCATGTAGCCAAACTCTGTCTCACTTTGGATCCCGAAGTTGTCAGCAAAGTGACAGAGTACTGCAGCAGAAAACTGATCCTTTCCAAACCCATCCTTAATGCGGTCGCAGAGACATTTGTTTGCCAATCAGAAAAATTTTCACCTCAGCAGATTTCTGAGTTAATTGAACCCTTTGGAAAACTCAATTATTTGCCACCAAATGCCTCTGCTGTATTTAAGAAACTAGAAGATATTCTATTCACTCATTTCAACTGTTTTCCACCCAAAACACTGTTGAAACTTCTCCATTCATGTTCACTTGTTGGATGCCATCCAGTCAACTTTATGGCCAAAATATTCAGCCCTTTTTTCCTGCAAAAGCTGCAAGGTGAGTTGGTTTTAACTACTGACAGTGGGGAAAAAAATGAACCTTTGAACTCTTGATGCTTTAAGTCACATATGTACCTTTTATATTGAGCAATACTTTGCATTTATTTTGTTCCATAATAATATGAAGAGATTCGAAGTTACAGGTTAAACAATACTAGAACATTTTATAGAAGGAAGAAAGCAGTTTCAGATAAACAGACTGCACTGCTCTAGCTGAGAAATTGCAGTATCCATAGAACCTGGAAACTGGGACCAGCGGGTAGCATAATGAGTATGGTGCTGGACTCCCACGTGGTCGACTGTGGGTCGAGTCCTGGACCTGGTGGCTTAAACTCACACCGGATGCATGTGCGTGTATGTCCAAGATCCCAAGAGGAGAATGGAGGAGAAGGGATCGCAGTGTGGCCATCCCCACTGGAGGGTGATTTCTTGCTTTCTGTCTCTGTGTCTCTTTCTGGTGAGTGCATGTGCCCTATAGCAAAAACCTCTCCCCCCCCACACCCAAAACACTGTTGAAACTTCTCCATTCATGTTCACTTGTTGGATGCCATCCAGTCAACTTTATGGCCAAAATATTCAGCCCTTTTTTCCTGCAAAAGCTGCAAGGTGAGTTGGTTTTAACTACTGACAGTGGGGAAAAAAATGAACCTTTGAACTCTTGATGCTTTAAGTCACATATGTACCTTTTATATTGAGCAATACTTTGCATTTATTTTGTTCCATAATAATATGAAGAGATTCGAAGTTACAGGTTAAACAATACTAGAACATTTTATAGAAGGAAGAAAGCAGTTTCAGATAAACAGACTGCACTGCTCTAGCTGAGAAATTGCAGTATCCATAGAACCTGGAAACTGGGACCAGCGGGTAGCATAATGAGTATGGTGCTGGACTCCCACGTGGTCGACTGTGGGTCGAGTCCTGGACCTGGTGGCTTAAACTCACACCGGATGCATGTGCGTGTATGTCCAAGATCCCAAGAGGAGAATGGAGGAGAAGGGATCGCAGTGTGGCCATCCCCACTGGAGGGTGATTTCTTGCTTTCTGTCTCTGTGTCTCTTTCTGGTGAGTGCATGTGCCCTATAGCAAAAACCTCTCCCCCCCCAAAAAAAAAAAAGAACCTTGGAGACTGAGCAGTTGTAATACCTTTTCTTTGAGAAGATAGCATTGTCATCGTAACTGAAGGACATCTAAATATGTCATATGCTGGATCTCCATAGTGAAGAAAATTTCCACTACTTCTAAGATTTTTGTCAATTTAAATTATATTCTATAGCTAGGAGCTTGGGTTCTTATTAAGTTGATTTTATTTAGTGGCAAAGAGGGCATAATTCTAATGAGCTAGTTTTTTGTTATCAGAGTATATTACTTCTGGAAGGAACGAATTGACGTAGGTTCGTGGTGTTCACACACACACACACACACACACACACACACACCAGGTTTCAAACTTGGCCATGACTGAGATGCTTTTTATTTCAGGTGAAGAGCTTTATTTGGACAGACTGAGTCTGGCACAACTGACCCAACTTTTCTTAACCTCAGTCCTGGAATGTCCCTTTTACAAGGTAAAAGTGAACGTATGGCTTCATTTCCCTGTGGGGGCAGTTTTCTCCTGCCCTCCCTGACCTGTTTTAAAATTCTTTCACTTTTGAGCTGCCTCGGTAATCTCACTGTAAAGCAGAACTTTCATTTCCTTGGAGTTAGTTCCTACCAGCTCACCTTTTCTCTGATAAACTGACAGCATTTCTGTTTTCTTATTCTTGAAGCACCCATTTCCTGCTGTGTGACATTGGTAGGTTTTATCCAGTACTGCAGGCCCATGAGTTATAGGACACTGGATTCTGTCTGAGGGCTTTAAAGGGCTTTCGCACTCTCCAGAGCTGTGTGTGATCAAGTATGAATGAATCTCTGAGCTGAACAAATCCTAATCCGTTTATTTCCTAGCCAAGCCAGGCATCTCAGCCTCGCCTGACAGAGTCAGTGTAACATAGTGCTTGCCGCTCCTAGAAGGGATGATCAAGAGCCATCCTGTAGCTCTCGCCACCTTGTGTGAGCAGGAGGAGCATGGCAAGGCAGGGCTGTGCCGGCCTGGCCCTCCATCCCTGACTCGGAATCAGGGAAGGGTCTCTGGTTTTTGGAATGAGGTATAAGAATAGAAAAACATCACTGTTTTCTTGAAAGCACCTAGATAATACCAAGGTGTGCAAGTATAAATAATAGTTACCCCAGTCTCCCTCATCCCTTGAGGAACTTTAACAGCAATTTCTATCTAAGTGTGCGCAGATAGGTAGACATGGTCTGGCTTTTCTCTTTTCATGAGATGGAACTAACAATTTACTCACAATCACAGTACGAAGCACAGTATAAAAGCACTGCAAGGTGTGTTTATGCCCGAAATCTCATGGCCATTCGAGGCCAGTACCCATAGATCAAGTGCATTCTTTTTCAGGGAGGCCTGCTGTTCATGGTGTCAATTCTACCCGTCCACTGTTGGCACACTCTCAGGTCATGTTCAGATTTTGTCTCTATTGAGTTTTCAGTAAAGCCATGATGCATTTTTTGCATGAGAAAATATGCCGTGGTTTTCCCGGCTACCTAATAGAATACTGTAATAAACATCCTTGCATATCTTACTGTACTGGAGCCTTTTTCTGTTAAGCTATAAACTGCATTACTAAAAGTGGGATTATTGTCTTAATTTTTGACAGATACTGGCAGATTTTTTTCTTTAATAGCTAAGGTCACATTAACCCAGCAGTGAGTGAAGAAAGCCATGTCTCCCTCACTTCTGCCATGTACTAGCGCTTTCTGTATTAATTTTTGTCATCTAACTCAGTAAAAAGGTATATGATATATTTAAATTGCCTTTTATTTTTACTCTCTTTTAATTGCCAGAGGGTCTGCGTGCTCACCAGAGAGAGACAGAGACAGAGAGAGGGAGAGAGCATCTCCCAGCAGAGCATGATCTTGCTGCAGTCCCTTTCCATCCTGTCCTGATTTGAGGAACTCCTGTGTGGGTACCCAGCATGTTTTTTTAAGTACCCAGGTGGCTGGCCATGTGGTATCTGACTCCCTTTCACCACTAGGCTACAGAGCCAACCCTTAAATTACATTGTAATGAGGAGAAATGAAGTGGAACATGTTTTCAAATATTTATTGGCTGTTCACATTTTCTGTGAGTTGCCTTTCTACACCTTAACTCATTTCTGTTGGTTGGTTTTCCACTGTGTTGGCTCTTTTTCTTAAGACAGGGCTTCATGAGGTTGCCGAGGCCAGCCCTGTGTTCCCCCTGCCCATTCTTCCTGAGTTGCTGGCTGGGATTACAGGTGCATACCACCATGCCTGGCATCTAAGTTGGACTGGGAATTGAAGCCAGGACTACTCCCATACTCCCATGTATATGGAAAGGAGTGATGTGTGTGTGTGTGTGTGTGTGTGTGTGTGTCCCAGTCTGTGGAGCACAGTGTCTTAGCAATGACACCACCTTGCTGCACCCTTTACAGAATTTTTTAAGATAATATTTTCCTTAGGTCATTAATCTACCTAGAATTTCTTTAATTTTTTTAATCAGCAAGTAAAACTGTATTTATTATATTCATGTTGTTTCTTTTATCTTTTTCTTTATATGAACAGAGACTATAAAAACATTTGAAAGGTATTTGAATGGCTATACTTGAACTGTAACAGAATATTTTGCATCGTAATTTTGAGAAAGATATGTATCCAAAGTCCCAGAAAAGTATCATGTTAATAAAGTAATTTTGTATCAGCCTTGTATACCTAGCTAACCTTCAATTCACTCTGGTTTTATTTTTCTTTTTCATATTTGTACATATGATTTTAGGGTCCCAGGCTTCTTTCCAAATATCAAGTGAAGTCATTCTTTACTCCATGCGGTTCTCTGGAGACCCCTGTGGATTTTCAGCTTTATAAATCTGTAATGTTCGGACTGATTGACCTTTTAGGAGAAAGATCATATTTTGCTTCAAAAGTGTTAACACCCTATTGTTATACGATAGGTAAGTAGTATAGGGAGTCTTCTGTTGTCTTGAACTAAGTATACCGTCTGCCTTTGGAGATATGTGGGGCTTAGCAGCCATAGAAGTCTCTGGAAATAGGGAACGGCCCTTGCCTACAGACAGGTTGACAGTGGTCAACAGCAGGGCAAAGAGGCAGGCCTGTCTGGGCTGAACTCTCACATATTGGCTACTTAGTAGCAGAACGGCCTAGGCAGAATAACCTTCGTCTGCAGCTTCTTCATCCGTAAAATTAGAGTGACCTCAAAAATGTGTTTAAGGACTAAATGGAATGATTTCTAGAACATAATAAATGCTCTGTAACTGTTAGCTGTTAAGTCTATGCCTATGCTGTAGCTACTAGTACATGTGGCTATTTAAATTTAAATTAATTAAAGAGAAAAGGAATTCCAAGTGAATTCCTTAGTCGCAGTAGCCACATTTTAATGAGCCAGTGCAGCTATTGGCAGCCAGATCGGACAGTGCAGGGGCACACACGTCCACCTTGCAGGAAGGCCTGCTGGACAGCGCTAACCACATTGGACAGTGCAGGGGCACACACGTCCACCTTGCAGGAAGGCCTGCTGGACAGCACTAACCACATTGGACAGTGCAGGGGCACACACTTCCACCTTGCAGGAAGGCCTGCTGGACAGCGCTAACCATGTTGGACAGTGCAGGGGCACACACGTCCACCTTGCAGGAAGGCCTGCTGGACAGCGCTAACCACATCGGACAGCACAGGGGCACACACGTCCACCTTGCAGGAAGGCCTGCTGGACAGCGCTAACCAGAGAGTCCCAAGTTTTTCTGCCATTTGAAGTTTTTTAGATTGATGATTGAAAAACATTTCATAAACAACGGTTAAAAGACTTAAAAGGATCACATACCACTCCGCTTTCTTTAGGCTGTTTCCAAAATGAGTGGCAGGGCAGCAGAGGGGAAGGGAAGAGGGCCTGCCAGTGCTGGGGATCACGTGGCGGAGTACAGGGTGCTTGACCTGCGTGGAGGCAGTGCAGTGCCTGACCCCTTCAGGTTGCACAGATGTCTAACTCTGCTTAACATAGAGGATTTTCTTCCCCATCTGGGTTGGAGTTAGGGGTTGGAGAAAGCACCGTGGCCCCGTCTCACCCAGATAACCTGGTAAGCCAGTTTCTTACAGCGCAGCTGAGGCTTTTTACCTGCACCCTGATTTGGCTGATCCTGAAGCAGCTCTGATAAAAGTCTCGCAATTGTTGGGTGTGTCATTACCTTGCAGCCTTCAGCCCAGTTGATAAGTGCAGTGTGGAAGAAAGCAGGACAGAACTCAGGAAGACAGGAAGATAGTGTTGGTGAGGGTATCAGACGAAGTTTTCTCTTTCTTCTCTCACCAGATGTTGAAATTAAATTGGATGAAGAAGGATTTGTAGTACCATGTACAGTTCACGAGGATGTTCATAAAAGGTAAGGAAAGCAGCTGGGCTTTGAGCGTGACCACACTTATTGTGATTAATAAACAATGGTCCTGCTTTTTTTCCTAAGAAAGTAAAAAACATGGGGCCAGTTGTTGATGTGTGGTTAAAGTGCTAGACTTCTCACATGGCTGACCATGGTTCTAGTCCTGGACCTGGCAGCTTGAAAAATCATTCTGGGCATGTGTGAGTGTCCAAAATCCCAGAAGGAGACAAGATTTGCAGAGTGACTGTTCCCCAAGAGGATGATTTCTCATTTTTCTTCTCTCTCTCTCTCTCCCCTTTTCCCTATCTTCCTCCCTCCCTCTTTC